AGGGCTCCCAGGGAAGCTTACGATTCACTACAGACAAGACAATCCCTGCCCTCAGGTTTATAATCGAAAAAGCTGCAACAGAAAAGGAAAATGGATTGGGAAGAAGGGAATGTGCACACACAGGTACATGATCATAGTTAAAATAATTGTGTTGTACACTCAAATGGTGAGAGAAACATATTGGAATATGGTGTGTGAGAGTGCTGCACAATTGTCAGTCACAGGTGCACAGAGAATAGCCCCCAAAGCCCTTAAGATACAACTGCTAAAGAAGTTTTAAAAGATAAATGTGGTAGAATGAGTTTCCTATTCTTGCAGGTGGCAGTTGTTGACACTAGACATGTTCTTTCATGGTGTTCTTTTTGGTGCCTGCTGAAAACGGTTCAGCGTCACCATCAGTGTGACGAAGACCTGGGTTAGGACATCTCCAGCACACCACACATCAACACTGGTGACCGTATGCTTGAGGTGGAAGATTATTTTGTCTACCTGGGCTCCATCATAACCAGCAACCTTTCCACCAACGCTGAGCTAGACTAGCATATTGGTAAGGCAGCTATCTCCTTCATGGATCACTGCCTTGCCGTGGCGAAGGGGCTTGAATAACTCAGAGAAGCTATGAGCTATGCCGTGCAGGGCCACCCAAGATGGACAGGTCATAGTGGAGAGTTTTGACCAAACGTGATCCACCTGGAGCAGGAACTGGCAAGCCACTCCAGTATCCCTGCCAAGAAAACTCCATGGACAAAGACAACAGGCATATAAAAGTTATGACGCTGGAAGATGAGCCCCTCAGGTCGGAAGGTGTCCAACATGCTACTGGGGAAGAGCGGAGGACAAGTACAAGTAGATCCAGAGCTGATGAAGCGGCTGGGCCAAAGCCGAAAGGACGCTCAGTTGCGGATATGCCTGGAAGCGAAAGGAAAGTCCAATGCTGTAAAGAAAAATATTGCATAGGAACCTGGAATGTAAGAACCATGAACCTGGGTAAGTTGGATGTGGTCAAAAATGAGATGGCAAGAATAAATATTGACATCTTGGGCATCAGTGAACTAAAGTGGACGGGAATGGGCGAATTCAGTTCGGATGACTATCATATCTACTACTGTGGACAAGAAACCCGTAAAAGAAATGGAGTGGCCCTCATAGTCAACAAAAGAGTGGTGAAAGCTGTACTGGGATGCAATCTCAAAAATGATAGAATGATCTCGATACGAATCCAAGGCAGACCTTTTAACATCACAGTAATCCAAGTTTATGCACCAACTACTGGTGCTGAAGAAACTGAAATTGACCAATTCTATGAAGATTTACAAGACCTTATAAAAGTGACACCAAAGAAGGATGTTCTGCTCATAATAGGGGATTGGAATGCTAAAGTAGGGAGTCAAGAGATAAAAGGAACAACTGGCAAGTTCGGCCTTGGAGTTCAAAACGAAGCAGGGCAAAGGCTAATAGAGTTCTGTCAAGAGAACAAGCTGATCATCACAAACACTCTTTTCCAACAACACAAGAGACGACTCTACACATGGACATCACCAGATGGGCATCATCGAAATCAGATTGATTATATTCTCTGCAGCCAAAGATGGAGAAGCTCTATACAGTCAGCAAAAACAAGACCTGGAGCTGACTGTGGCTCAGATCATCAGCTTCTTATAGCAAAATTCAAGCTTAAACTGAAGAAAGTAGGAAAAACCACTGGGCCGGTAAGATACAATCTAACTCAAATCCCTTATGAATACACAGTGGAAGTGAGGAACAGGTTTAAGGATTTAGATTTGGTGGACAGAGTGCCTGAAGAACTATGGATGGAGGCTCGTAACATTATACAAGAGGCAGCAGCTAAAACCATCCCAATGAAAAGGAAATGCAAGAAAGCAAAGTGGCTGTCCAACGAGGCCTTACAAATAGCGGGGGAGAGAAGGCAAGCAAAATGGGAGGGAGATAGTGAAAGATACAGGAAATTGAATGCAGATTTCCAAAAAATAGCAAGGAGAGACAAGAAGGCCTTCTTAAACGAGCAATGCAAAGAAATAGAGGAAAACAATAGAATGGGAAAAACCAGAGATCTGTTCAAGAAAATTGGAGATATGAAAGGAACATTTTGTACAAAGATTTCCATAATAAAAGACAAAAGTGGAAAGGACCTAACAGAAGCAGAAGACATCAAGAAGAGGTGGCAAGAATACACAGAGGAACTATACCAGAAAGAAATGGATGTCTCGTATACCCCAGGTAGTGTGGTTGCTGACCTTGAGCCAGACATCCTGGAAAGTGAAGTCAAATGGGCCTTAGAAAGCATCGCTAATAACAAGGCCAGTGGAAGTGATGATATTCCAGCTGAATTATTTAAAATTTTAAAAGATGATGCTGTTAAGGTGCTACACTCAATATGCCAGCAAATTTGGAAAACTCAGCAGTGGCCAGAGGATTGGAGAAGATCAGTCTACATCCCAATCCCAAAGAAGGGAAGTGCCAAAGAATGCTCCAACTACCGCACAATTGCACTCATTTCACACGCTAGCAAGGTTATGCTTAAAATTCTACAAGGCAGGCTTAAGCAGTATGTGGACCGAGAACTCCCAGAAGTGCAAGCTGGATTTAGAAGAGGCAGAGGAACCAGAGACCAAATTGCAAACATGGGCTGGATTATGGAGAAAGCTAGAGAGTTCCAGAAAGACATCTACTTCTGCTTCATTGACTATGCAAAAGCCTTTGACTGTGTCGACCACAGCAAACTATGGCAAGTTCTTAAAGAAATAGGAGTGCCTGATCACCTCATCTGTCTCCTGAGAAATCTCTATGTGGGACAAGAAGCTACAGTTAGAACTGGATATGGAACAACTGATTGGTTCAAAATTGGGAAAGGAGTACGACAAGGCTGTATATTGTCCCCCTGCTTATTTAACTTATATGCAGAATTCATCATGCGAAAGGCTGGGCTGGATGAATCCCAAGCCGGAATTAAGATCGCCGGAAGAAATATCAACAACCTCAGATATGCAGATGACACAACCTTGATGGCAGAAAGTGAGGAGGAATTAAAGAACCTTTTAATGAGGGTGAAAGAGGAGAGCGCAAAATATGGTCTGAAGCTCAACATCAAAAAAACGAAGATCATGGCCACTGGTCCCATCACCTCCTGGCAAATAGAAGGGGAAGAAATGGAGGCAGTGAGAGATTTTATGTTCTTGGGCTCCATGATCACTGCAGATGGTGACAGCAGTCACGAAATTAAAAGACGCCTGCTCCTTGGGAGAAAGGCGATGGCAAATCTAGACAACATCTTAAAAAGTAGAGACATCACCTTACCAACAAAGTTCCGTATAGTTAAAGCCATGGTTTTCCCAGTAGTGATGTATGGAAGTGAGAGCTGGACCATAAAGAAGGCTGATCGCCGAAGAATTGATGCTTTTGAATTGTGGTGCTGGAGGAGACTCTTGAGAGTCCCATGGACTGCAAGAAGATCAAACGCATCCATTCTTAAAGAAATCAGACCTGAGTGCTCTCTGGAAGGACAGATCGTGAAGTTGAGGCTCCAATACTTTGGCCACCTCATGAGAAGAGAACACTCCCTGGAAAGGACCCTGATGTTGGGAAAGATGGAGGGCACAAGGAGAAGGGGACGACAGAGGATGAGATGGTTGGATAGTGTTCTCGAAGCTACAAACATGAGCCTGACCAAACTGCGGGAGGCAGTGGAAGACAGAAGTTCCTGGCGTGCTCTGGTCCATGGGGTCACGAAGAGTCGGACACGACTAAACGACTAAACAACAACAACAACAAGGCAGCTATGGCTCTTCTCTCCAAAAGGGTATGGAGCAATGTGATGCTAATGGCTGATACCAAGATGAACGTCTACCAAGCTTGTGTGTTGAGCACACTGCTTTATGGAAGTGAGTCATGGGCAACTTACACCCACTGGAGAGACACCCCAATGCTTTCCATATGTGCTGCGTCAGGAAGATTTGGGGCATCACATGGCAGGACAGAGTCTCAAAGAAAGATGTGCTCTCTCAAGCCCACCTTCCCAACATGTTTGTGCTTCTTCTGGCTCAGCGGCGTCTGTGTTGGATTGGTAATGTCCATAGAATGGAAGATGGCAGGATCCCCAACGATGTGCTGTATGGGCCTGTTGGCAGACCAACTCTGTTACAAAGATGTCTGCAAAAGTGACAGGAAGGCTGCCAACATTAACCCCGCTGTGTGGGAATCCCTTGCAGACGACTGGAGTGTCTGGAAATGGTCATGTCATGTATTCACAGCAGTGACCAGAGGAGAAATGACCGCTCCTCTGGGAGGAGCACAGAGAGAAGAAACACCATGGTACACCTGCATCAGCACAAGCTGCAACAAAACATCTCTCTCCTGTATTGGTCTCTACAGCCATATTAGGCGCTGTAACTTTCCAATGGGTTCAACTCCTCTCTGGAAGGTAAGGTTTGTAACTGTTTTTTAATTGATAACTTTAACATTTATCGTGACCCGCTTAGGGCGTTTATTACAGTAATACTAGTTTGTTTAATTAATAAAACAAGCGCCTCCTCCTCGGCCCACATAATCTCCCAAGAGCAAACACAGTTGACCCTCCACTATTTGGGGAGCTTTCCAGGTGTTTTTTTTGCAAATTCCAGAATCTCCCCGCCTCGCTCCGAACCAAACCCCGCGCTCCCGCCTTTCCTAGCGGCAGAGCATCTGGCCGCAGCTGGGCCTTATGAGAACCCGACCTATCCCGTTTCTACAATAGGCTTTATGACTCCTTCTCCTACCGCGGAGGGATTGGTTATTTGTAGCTTTGTCCCGCCTCTGGAAGGCAGTGGTTGGCTACCCTTCAGGGGCTTCCCTCGTATGCGGTATTCCATTAGCCGGCAATCTCAAAATTCGTGCGATTGGCTGTCCCGCCTCGCCCCCCTCGAAAGCGGCTCTCCGATTGGCGAGAGGGCGCGCCTCCCTGCTATTGGGGAGCGGGGATTCGCTCTCCCATCTCTCTCTCTCTCTGCCTCCGTCTGCGGTGAAGGTGACACTCTCCGTCTCCTCCAGGCAGCGGCTTTCGGGGGGTTCCAGCTTTGATATTGTCCCGCAATGTCTCCCGGAGGGAAATCCGTGTTCACCAGCGTCCCGCAGGCCCCGCCCGTGGCTGTGTTCCAGCTCACGGCGGATTTCCGCGCCGATGGGGACCCGCGCAAGGTCAACCTGGGAGTGGGAGGTAAGAGAGCAGGGCGGGAGGAGGGAAGCACGCGTGGATGCGGCTCCTGGTCGGAATCGGGTGGTTGAACTTGGAGGGGGGGGTCAAGGACCTAAATCTGATCCCAGGGAGCCCTGGGGAGACGGGAGCTGCCATTCTCTGCAAGTCCATCACCGACCTGTCCTTTTTAAGAGGGGTCCTCCTGAGCCTTTGAGCAGCTGTGTGAGAGACAGAAATCCGTCAGGTGATGGCGTCTCTAGAATTGCAGCTCCGTGCCAGGGAACCTTTGCACTTGTTGAATTTCTGCCTACTACCCATCTGTCAAAGAGGCACAGAAGAGCTCTGTCTGAAAAGAAATCGATGGGAATCTGACAAGGATGCAAGAATCTGACAATTGGGGGCAGCGATGAAAACAATTTGTTATTTGTATGAATGTTTCACAATCAGCTGATTCAGACATATTTCCTATACTTTCAAAATCCTGCATAAAGTCTCGACTCTAGAGAATCTAGCTCCTGCTGATTGTTGTTGTTTGATTCGTTTTGTTCCTTGCCTAATACCAAATGGTCTCTATGTGACTCTCAACAATTTAAAAACATGCAAAATTGTAAAGCAACATTGCAACAATATTATCAGCAGCACAAAACTGCAATGATTAAGTGCATAGCAACCATAAAACATTATTGGCCATCAAATGGTAAGAGCACTAGTGGAAGAGACCATTACTGAAAAAGCCCTTATGCTTTCAGTTGAACATGCATTGGTGTGTTTACAATTTTAACTACATTGATGATATGAACTACTTGGGACCATCTGTGTAACCTCTGGAAAAATTCTTTATTTTTCTTGATTGCTTTCAGGCTTAGCAGGGAAAAACACGCATCAGAATACTTTCCAATTCTGTAGATAAAAAATGGCTAACACTCAATGATCCTTGATCTGCCTTGCACACAGTTGAAATCCAAGGTGCTTCTAGACTATCACTATTTTCAAGAAAGATTTGGTCACATATTGGCAAATTGAGATTGCACATTTATAGTTTGATTGGGAGGTTTTGTGCCACAAACATGCTCCCCCAAAATATTAGACTGTTTGCGATAAAGGAGTGTGCTGGGGGGAAAGCGCTGGAAAGTGCAGAATAACACTGGCTTTTGATGCAGTGTCAACTAATCTTGTCTTCTAATCTCCCTGCAACCAAATCCGGATAAATCAGGTTGTCTGGAAGCACCCCTAAAGATAATCACACTAGTAGGTTGTGGGGGTGAGAGCCTCTAGTCTCATGCAATTTGTACCCTTCTTATTCTCATGCCTTTGCCATTGGGTTCATGTAGGAACATCTGAGAAAGTTCAGCAGGAAACTACATGTAATGATTGGGTTGTGGTTATAGGGTTCTCCACATATCATCTGTTTTGCCTAAATGGAAGATTTGTACGCTTTTATCTGCAGGCAGACAGAAGAATGCTCTGTATCCTTAAATACTGTTTATACTTTATGGCATGTAATTTCTCACAGCCAAGTTCAGTTTACAGAAATTGTATTTGTACTTCATCTCACCTGCAGATCTTTGGCTGTACCATTTATAAATATTAACATGGGGTCTATGGTTGATCACAGCAGATCTGCAGAATACAGAAGGATGGTGCCAAAATTGATGCTTTTGATAGGTGTTAAAGACCCATATGGATATGGGCACTGTTCTGCTTTTGATACTTTCAATCTGACAGAGCCATTCAGAAAGAGGTAGAACTACTAGCAAAGGGGCTGTGTGTTACAAGGACCAGTGCCTAAATGGGGGACTTCTACCAATACTGGAAATGTTGAAGCAATATTGCTAATGAAGCTATGTACCCTGGTTTATAGTCAAAAGTCCAGTAATGACAGATGGAAACAAATTGAAGCCGTGAAGAGAAAAACAAGGAAATGGGTCAGGCTGATTGTGGAGAGAAAATGAATTGTTGCCTCTTTCCTTAATCTAATGTTGTCAGATCCAGGACTTTTTTGGATCTTAACCTTTTTTTACCTGCACTGTCCCTCCTGCATTCATTTCCCCCTTTCTACTTTCATCTCTATTCTGTGTCCTGTGACAATCTCGGTGTATCCTTTATTTTGGGCTTGTTTCCCCAGTACTTTCTACAGTTGCTACTGATTGGCTTCCCTCAGGTAGGGGTTGTGATGCTGCCTAGACTTTTGGCACCTGATGTTCTTATGACTGGGCTACAGCTGTCAGGAGATCTGGGCCGGTGCCCATGTTCTGCTTGGGTGAACCACACGACCTTGAGCAAGTTAAAGCCGGGGCCTTGCAGGAACTGGAAAAGGGACTCTGCCCTTAAGCAGCAGAGACCAGGCTGAGAGTAGTGTTTAGCTAGCTACCAGTCCTGCAGTTTCTAAAGCATTACCCTTTGCTCCCAAGTTGTAAAATCTGTGGTTGCCTGGTTCCCCTTTGCCCCAAAGTCCCTGCACCTTCTGCAGGTGAATAGCTCAAAGCTTGACCCTCAGCAAACTAATTAGAAGCCAGCTTGCCAGTTCCCTCTTTGCTAGTATCCTCTGGAATACTTGTCGGTTGTTGTTTGTGGTCTCTCTTACCTGTGCGCTGCAGCTCATGCTCAGGATTTGAAGTCTTCTCTCAAAGGGGTCCATGCTAGCCCCTTTGCTGCCTCCAGGCATACTCTCCATGTTCTTGGCCTGAAGATCCCATTAAGCTCTCAATGTTCCTGAGCCTCCAAACTTGCTAGGTGCAGTGACCAAACTGTCATATTTGATAGCCTTTTCAATTCGAATAAAGTTCTTGGATTTGAATATGTAAGCAAAGGGGTTGTGGGAATGGCACATGCATTGGAGACCTCCTGTGTGACATAGGCATCCCTTTGCAAAAGGATAAAGTGAAAATTGGCAAGCGGGACTGGAAGGAGTAAGGGAGAGAACGAGCTCTCTGCAGTATGCCTTTTTGGTCCATCCTTTTATTTTGTACCATACCTCTCCTCTGAGAAACTCAAGGCACGGCACATGTCTCTCCCAGACCCCTTCCATCTTCTCAACAACCCTGAGAGGTAGGGTTAGGCTAAGAGATATGTTTCTGTATCTAGAACAATTCCCTCCTCTTCCACCTTGCAGCCTATCGCACAGATGAGGGGCAGCCATGGGTCCTGCCAGTGGTTCGGAAAGTGGAGCAGATGATTAACAAGGACCTCAGCTTGAACCACGAGTACCTGCCCATCCTGGGCCTGCCAGAATTTCGTTCCAATTCCTCACGAATTGCCCTAGGAGACGACAGCCCAGCCATCAAGGAGAACAGGGTGAGCCTGAAGAGGAAACTCCTATTATGAACTTCATCCATGCAAGTTAAGCCTAATTGAACACAGAAGAGCTTGATGGCATGGAAGAGGTAGGGTGGGAATAGGTTGGCACTGGGGCATATAATCTCTTTCTCTCACTCTCACTCACTCACTCACACACACATATGTAGAAACTGGGATTTGATTGGAACAGAGGAATTTGGGGACAGGTAAGGATCTCAGAATTTGGGGACAGGTAAGGATCCCTGCCAACCTAGCAGTTCGAAAGCACCTCCGGGTGCAAGTAGATAAATAGGGACCGCTTACTAGCGGGAAGGTAAACGGCGTTTCCGTGTGCGGCTCTGGCTCGCCAGAGCAGCGATGTCACGCTGGCCACGTAACCCGGAAGTGTCTCCGGACAGCGCTGGCTCCCGGCCTATAGAGTGAGATGAGCGCACAACCCTAGAGTCTGTCAAGACTGGCCCGTACGGGCAGGGGTACCTTTACCTTTTAAGGATCTCAGTATAGTTCAGTGAAGCTATTATAGGAAACTGGATTCTTGCTTATAGGATGGCCAGGCATCTTGCTGAAAAGAGCACCTGCCTTCTAATTATTGCTTTCTCTTTGTTCCAGGTGGGGGGTGTCCAGTCCTTGGGGGGCACAGGGGCTCTCCGTATTGGAGCAGAGTTCTTGAGACGCTGGTACAATGGAACCAACAACACTGCAACCCCTGTCTACATCTCTTCTCCTTCCTGGGGTGAGTACCAAGGCCTGGCTGGCACTTTGGCATGATTTGGGGTAGAGAGAGAGAGAGAGGGAAGGTTGGGCTCCCCATTGTTTGCAAGCCTCCTCAGTAGCCATGTGTTACACATACATGTTCTAGGAGTCTTGTGAAGCTTTAGACAGTGGCAATAGCACATCTTAGTAGATTTAACCAGGAACTTAAACTCACATAGGCCTTAAAATGAGGGTGTTTATTGATACACACACATATAATCAAAATATTCAGCACTTCTCTTATGGTAGTAGGGAAAGCCCAACTCTCTCTTTCTCTCTCTCCCCCCCCCCCCCTTACTTCTTTGGTTTGGAAGAATTGGCTAAATAAATCTAACCATGACTAAACTAATACACACAATACACAAGGAGAAGGAAGCACACAGGGCACCAGAGAAGGAGGGGGAGGAACGGGGAAGGGGGAGGCATCAAGCAGTTTTGACAGAAATACAGTGCTGCTTGAATCCTGCTAGTCTGTTTTCCGCCCCCTCGGCTCACATTGCAGACTAGGTCTGAGTCATGTGCAAGTGGATTAGGGAGGACCTGAGGGTGGCTTCTAAAACGCAGCGCCCCTGCCCCTTGCATGAAGGTAAGAAGCCAAACACAGATCTAGAAATGCAGTATTTTTTCTCTCTCTCACTAAAGGTAGGAAGGGGGAGCAGATGTGGAGGCTACAATTTATAGGGTGAAGGACAGGATAGGTGAGATACTTTTCCTAGCCCTGGTGGGCAATTCTGAAGAAATAGATCTGGGGCATTTTTTAAAGAATCCCTTCTAATCCTGAACAGCTTGAGCTTTGGCTGAATGATGAATGCTTCTCTTCTTTCCCCCGCAGAGAACCACAACTCTGTTTTCATGGATGCTGGGTTCAAGGACATCCGAACCTATCGCTACTGGGATGCTGCAAAGAGGGGTCTGGACATCCAGGGATTCCTGGAGGACTTGGAGGTGAGCCAGATGTCCTTACGGATTGGGTGTAACATAAGCTAGAAGGAAATCTGAATAGGGACTGTGTAGATGTTCTACGGGAGCAACATTTCTAGCCTATTGTAATATTGGATTTAACATCTGGCTAGCCAAACGTTTGCTAGGATGGTCTGTGTCTCTTGACTGCAAGACAGCACCATGCAGGAATCCCATCTTCTCACTCAGTGGGATTCAGAGAGCTGTGGGTGGATCTCCCTGTGTGGATCTGATGCTTTCCCTACCACATCTGTTCATGCCTCCTGAACAGTCATTCCAAATAGAGGGCAGCTGGAAGAGGAAATCTGGAGAGCTTGGAAACCTTGATGTGTGTGGAGTTCTTTGGATCACAGTCCATGCTAGTCTTGTAAAAGTGTATGTGTGTCATTGTGGGTGGCACTGTTCTATGTGAGGGTGCCTTGTCTTGTTAGTATCTATTTTATATACATAGAATATCAGAACTTTATAGACATAATATCTTCAACAATTCTTCACTATCTGATTGAAACCTGTATAGTTCCAAGTCTTATCCATAATGCATATATATAGAACAGGTCAATCAGTAGAGCATGAGACTCTTAATCTCAGGGTTGTGGGTTTGATCCCCACGTTGGGCTAAAGAGTCCTGCATTGAAGGGGGTTGGACTAGATGACCCTTGTGGTCCCTTCCAATTCTACAATTCTGTGTTCATCTGGAAAGCAGCATCTTCTACCCAGCTCTTTATTGTACAGTCCCATCAGTGAGTCTCAACATAAATGGCTAGTGCCACTTGATGTTTAGGGTAATTTTTAATGTTTGATGTTTCATCGTGTTTTTGCTATTCTGCTGGGAGCCACCCAGTCAGATGGGCAGCATACAAATAAATAATAATAATAATAATAATAATAATAATAATAATAGACTGGGTTTTATTCTCTCTCTCTCCACCCAGAAAGCTCCGGAGTTCTCCATCTTCGTCATCCATGCTTGTGCTCATAACCCAACTGGCACAGACCCCACACAGGAGCAATGGAAACAAATTGCTGCCGTTATGAAGGTATTAGCAATTCTGCAACAAGGTACTCCCAGAGTCTGTGCCCAAAGCCATATTTCTGGACGTTTTTGAATTAATTTATTAGTACTGTTAATTTTTATCCTGCTCTCCTACCAGGAAGCTCAGCTAAATGGTATATAGTCGTCCCCCCCAGTTTTAATTTTACAACCACCTTATGAGATTGGGGATGCCAAGAGAGTGAAGGCCGCCCAGTGAGTTCCGCAGCTGAGAGGGGATTTGTATCTATATCTCTCCAGACCTACTGACACCCTAACCAGTAGACACCACCAGAAAACAACTTTTTAATTTTTAAAATAAATTTAAATAAGTTTAAAACTTTAAATAAGTTTTAAAATTTAAAGAGAGGGGACGCGGGTGGCGCTGTGGGTAAAAGCCTCAGCGCCTAGGGCTTGCCGATCGAAAGGTCAGCGGTTCGAATTCCTGCGGCGGGGTGCGCTCCCGTTGCTCGGTCCCAGCGCCTGCCAACCTAGCAGTTCGAAAGCACCCCCGGGTGCAAGTAGATAAATAGGGACCGCTTTCTAGCGGGAAGGTAAACAGCGTTTCCATGTGCGGCTCTGGCTCACCAGAGCAGCGATGTCACGCTGGCCACGTGACCCGGAAGTGTCTCCGAACAGCGCTGGCCCCCGGCCTCTTGAGTGAGATGGGCGCACAACCCCAGAGTCTGGCAAGACTGGCCCGTACGGGCAGGGGTACCTTTACCTTTACCTTTACTATTTATAGCCACAAATACACTAGGTTCCATACTGCTGAGTGAAGGAGTGTGTGGAACCAGTGGTTTTGGTTTCTTCTGTTAAGTGTTTTAATACCTCACTTTAATTCTATTCCCAGGGCAGGTTAGAAAAAGAAGAAAACAATTAAAATGTAAATGCAAAAATGAAAAGCTTGGGAAGCACCAAAAGGGCAATAAAGTAGGTGATGAGGAAGCCTCTCTGGGGAGAGAGAGTTCCATCACTGAGAAGGCCCGGTCTTTGGCAGCCATGTGCTTTCAGGGATGGCAGTTGAGGATGCTCTGAAGTAAGTGCCAAAGACCAATCTTCTCCCCTTAATTATTCATTCCTTGCAGCGCCGGTTCCTGTTCCCCTTCTTTGACTCTGCCTACCAAGGCTTTGCCTCGGGTTCTCTGGACAAAGATGCCTGGGCTGTCCGCTACTTCGTTTCTGAAGGCTTCGAACTCTTCTGTGCTCAGTCCTTCTCCAAAAACTTTGGCCTGTACAGTGCGTATAGTCTTTTAACTTCCCTGCTTCTCGGATTTTGTTCTGCTCTAATGTTAAGCTGCTTTTTTATTTTGGCCTGTAAAAGAACAATTATTGCATTGTATGGTTTTGCTGTTTCATGCCACTATGGGAACCTGTTTTGTGTGGGGTTTTTTGAGAACTACAAGGTGGGATATAACTAAGTAAAGATTCAGATAAAGGGTAGTAAGAATTTCCTTTCGCCCTCTGGGCTGTTGCACCGGGCCTAAGGCTTATGGCTTGACTTTCCTTTCTTTTCCCTCAGATGAGCGTGTGGGGAACCTGACTGTTGTTGCGAAGGATGCTGACAATGTGCAGCGCACCTTGTCTCAGATGGAGAAGATTGTCCGCACCACCTGGTCAAACCCCCCCTCGCAGGGCGCACGTATTGTGGCTACGACACTCACTACTCCAGAACTTTTTGATGAGTGGTAAGGAACAGCAGGGGATGCGGGTGGCGCTGTGGGTTAAACCACAGAGCCTAGGACTTGCCGATCAGAAGGTTGGCAGTTCGAATCCCCGTGACAGGGTGAGCTCCCGTTGCTCGGTCCCTGCTCCTGCCAACCTAGCAGTTTGAAAGCACATCGAAGTGCAAGTAGATAAATAGGTACCGCTCTGACAGGAAGGTAAACGGTGTTTCCGTGTGCTGCTCTGGTTCGCTAGAAGCGGCTTAGTCGTGCTGGCCACATGACCCGGAAGCTGTATGCCGGCTCCCTCGGCCAGTAAAGCGAGATGAGTGCCGCAACCCCAGAGTCGGCCACGACTGGACCTAATGGTCAAGGGTCCCTTTACCCCTTTACCTAAGGAACAGCAAGAAGTGGAGGGGATAAGTTGATCCCTGCCATAATCATGGGCCCCATTTACTGCCCAGCACTTTCCCATTCCTGCCGTTAAAAAAAACCTGGTGCTGGACTGAACTAATGCTTTTCTGTTGCAACAGGAAAGGGAATGTGAAGACCATGGCAGATCGAGTCTTGCTGATGCGGGCAGAGCTCAGGTCTCGTCTTGAGAAGCTGCAGACACCGGGCACCTGGAATCACATCACGGAGCAGATTGGCATGTTTAGCTTCACTGGCCTCAATCGTGAGTACAGCTTTGGGCAGTGGACATCGGAAGAGCCTGGGCAGGAAGGAGGGGGTGTGGTACAGGGAATGAAGCAGCTTTCCTGACTATGCTTGCGGTGATCTAGCAAAAATGGTTCTGGCTTCAATAGTGGCCTCCTTGCCCTGCACTGCAAGTCCAAGCAACTATCTTTACACAGCTCTCCACTATGAAGAGATCTACCTGTGCATTTCCTTTATCAATCACTTCATAGGATCTCTTCACATTGCATCCACTTTCTGGTCGCTTACCAGTCTCGTTTCCTGCTGTGACCTTGGCTGCAGCTGGCAAACCTTAGTAAAGGCTGCTCTGGGTACCCGATGAGATGCCTGACACAATTTTTCCTCTTGCTCTTTCTCCAGCTAAGCAAGTACAGTTCATGATCAAGGAGAAACACATCTACCTGATGGCCAGCGGCCGCATAAACATGTGTGGCCTGACCACGAAGAACCTGGATTACGTTGCCAGCTCCATCCACGAGGCCGTCACCACAATCCAGTAAATCGGTTGCATGTAACTTTCCCCCTACGTTTTGGGTTGTTTTAAAACCAACAGCAGCCTTTGGAAAGTGGGAGTTTTAGGCAAAGAAATAGAACACTATTGCCTCTTGCCACTTTTCTGGTTAAAATTCTACCACTCTCTGAAGCTGCTATCAGCCCCCCTCCCCACTGCCTCAGTGTGGGAGAACAGAGTACCCATTTCTTCCTTTGGCTAGAGAGAATGGAGTAGAAAAGTGGCTGTGGAGTGAGAAAGGGTTAAGCTGCCCCCCCCCCAAGCATCCCTAAGTTTTTGAAAAACCCAAAACAGTGGAAGAAAGAAACACACAACTGCATGTAACATCTAGTTTGGCCCTATGAAACAAGAAAAACTGAATCCCTCCATACTGTAACACATAGTTTGTCTGCTCCACCAACAGAGCTAATCTCCCATACCTCTTTGCTCAATATTAATTGAGAACAGCACTTTTGTCTGCATAGCTTCTTCCTGTCTTTTCAATGGCCCTCGGTTTGTGTGTGTGAGCAGGTGGCAGTGGGAATTTTCCTTCTTGGGGTCCACTTTGTACACTTGGTATTAACAGCACCTAACTCTGGAATCCAAGCACATGGCCTTGTCTGCGTCTCTGTTTGCACTTTATGTAACCAACCCTCTCTGGCCCATGCCTGCTCCAGTGGAAGGGTTGGGCATTGTGGGATATGTACCAAAAACGACTGGTCTCCTTGTATGAGCTGCGCGGGTTACTTCAGGGAGCGAGGCTGGTGCCGCTTCCCTGGTTTCCAGCCTTGCACAAGCAAAGATTGTAATCTTAAGAACCACCTTTTCTGTCAGTACAACCAATAAAACATCTCTTCATGCCATACCTGTCTTTTGGCCAACTTGGGGCTGGGGTGGAGAAAGGAACAGAGCTGTTTGTTGTGTAGAAAACTATATGTGATCCTCAACCCCCTTTGGAACAACCCATTACTATATCCAGGCACCTATTCTTACCCTCCACTTGACCTGAAATGATCTTTCCCTGCCTCAGTCTCTCCAGTTGTCAGATTAAGAGGTGAGTCTCTTGTGGTAGCTCCGAAACCAGATACTCTGCCTGGAAACCTTGATGAACTATCAGGAGTATAGTTTGCTAGAAGAGAAGGGTGATGTTACTGCTGACGTAGTGGGTGAGGGTGATGCGCAGAGTCCACAAACTCCTGATCCTTGTCTACAGCACCTGAAGCTTCTTTCTACCATGCTAACTGAGGCATGGGATGATCTGCGAAGAGAGCTGGTGCCACTGCTGCCTTTGCTTCAGCAAAACTGAGTGAAGAGGCAGGCTTTGAACCTTGAGACATGGAGTGTGTGTGTGTGTGTGTGTGTGTGTGTGTGTGTGGCTCTCTGCTGCTCTAGAGCAGTGTTTCCCAACCTTTTTTGGGCAAAGGCACACTTGTTTGATGAAAAAAATCTCGAGGCACACCACCATTACAGCCCCGTGACGTCAGCGCGCAGCGTCACGCCGGGAGGGACGCACGAGCTCCTTCTCCTGCTCGTTCAGGGCCGGGTCGCCGCCGTGAGGGAAGGGCGCCGGGGCGCTGCTGCTGCTGCTGCCGCCGCCGCTCCCGGCAGGCATGGGCCCAGCTGAGGCGGCGGCGGCTGTTGTGGTGGTGGCGGCGATAGCGGGCGGAGGAGGGGCTTTTCAAATGGAAAAGGTGGCTTAGCAGGTTGCGTCAGGGCTAGGCCACACATAGTTTCTCTTGTGGTCTGGAAGAGACGGTTGCCGCCACCCAGAGAGACGTGCTGGCCGTGATGCCTCTCCAGGCAGCCAAGGCCGAGGGGCCTGGCCTCACGGGGGGACCAAACGGAGAGGCCGGCCAAGATCCTCAAGGAGGGACTGCTGGGGTTAGAGGGAGCTTCTGGGCTCAGCTCACGAGTCTCACGACTGGTGCAGAGCACTGCCCTCAGGAGATGACCGCCCCCCTTTCTGTGTCCTGCCACAGAGGTGGGGGGCTGCCCTTCCTGGAACCACCGTCCTCCTATGAGGATGGCCAGCCAGGCAGGTCTGCCTCTGCTCAGTTACAAAGGCCAAGAGCTGAGCTTTTAACAAGCATCTGTCAAAAGCAAAAGCCAAGGTTGAAGTCTACCAGTTTCAAGCAATGAAATGCTGCTTCATTTAAATGTGTCAAATATTCCTTCTGCCCCAGCCGACTTTTTGCCTCATTGATCTGAGAGGGGCCATAGTTCAGGGACAGAGCACCCGCTCCACATGCGGAGCCCAGATCCAATCCGCAATGGCGCAAGGGCTGCACATGGACCTTGCCTGAAACCCTGGAGAGCTGCTGCCAGTCAGTGCGGACAGTACTGAACCGGATGGAGCAGGGCTCTGACTTGGAATTCGGCAGCTTCCAAGGTTCCCAGCAGGACGTGGGCAGGGAGACCTGTCCCTGGACTGGGGTGGGAGCTCATCTCCCCACCCAAAGGGGGCTCTGCCCCTGCTTCTCCTCTGATCTCATTCAGGATCTGGGTCCCCCACAGAGAAGATTGGGGGGGGGAGCCCTTTAAAAAGCAGCTTCCTATCACAGTAACTAATTCTGAGAGAAAACCCAAATACTGAACATTAAGTTTTTAAATGGGAGTGAGTGGAAGAGCTGCAGTTGTCTCTGAGAATGGCAGCCATCTCCAATGGCATGGGAGGCTGGCATGTCTATTAGCCATAAAAGAACACAGCAGGGAGAAGGGGACACAAGTCACAGCTATACAAGTGTACACATGTGCGCGCATGCACACACACACACACACACACACACACACAGCAAGGGTGCCCATCGCCCCACACTCTGCACAAGCTCCACACACAAAGACCAAGTCATATTTTCTGACTGCCAGTACCAGACCTCACACGATTTTCTCCAAGAAAGATACCCAAGACTGTTGTCCTATGCCTGGATTCTTGAGAGCGAATCACACTGAGCAAAGTGGACTTTAGGAGGGAACAGTCCGGCTTTCTTGTCTATGACATTGGAGGCAAAAGGGTCTTTCTCAGGCAGCCCATTCTTTAAAAAGCGCATGTCCCAAACTGCCTTATTCCTGCTGCTGTTAGGATGGAGGGGGATCCCCAGGCAGAGCCCTGAAACTCAGTGGGGTTGTGGAGATGGAGATTCCTTTGGGCAGGCATGGGCCCAGCTGAGGCGGCGGCGGCTGTTGTGGTGGTGGCGGCGATAGCGGGCGGAGGAGGGGGCGGCGGGGCCGAGGTGGCCGGCGGGGGGGGAGGCGGCGGCGGGTGGAGCAGGAGGGCGGCCGAGGCCGGTGAGGGAGTAGGGTTGCCCGGGGCTTGAGGAGCCGTCGCCGGGAGTTGCTGCTGCTGTTGTTGCTGCTGCTGCCCGGACATGCCGGCCTCCTCCTCGTCCGCTGTCTCGCGCTCCTCCCTTTTGCGTGCGCTGCCCCGCCGCCGCCCCATTGGCCGGGTCCTGTCAGCTGATCCTGTGTTATTTCCTGTGTGTGTGTGTGAGGGGAGAATGGAGAGAGAAACCTTGGCACCACCACCGCGGAGCCGCCCCCGGCTCGACGCGGATCCTCGCCGCCGCCGCCCCGCCTCTCGCCGCCCGACTCGCCCGCCTCCCTCCCACGGCACACCAGGCAAGGTCTCGCGGCACACTAGTGTGCCGCGGAACACCGGTTGGGAAACACTGCTCTAGAGGAGCACGCTATCTTTGCCCATTTTCCAAAAGTTCCTAAATTTGATCCTCTATCGAAAAATCTTTCAGCGGCTCTTTTTCAGTGGGAACAACATAATGATCATATTTGCTTTTCCATCTTTGTATGGCTGCAACCATCCCTCTGTTCCTACCAAAGCCACACTTTTCTCCTTGTCTGCCAAGTTAGCCCCACTCTATACCAGAACTGGGTTTGAGTCCCACCTTGGGCAAAAGAGTCATATATTGCAGGGGGTTGGACTAGATGGCCCCTGTCGTCCCTTCCAACTCTACAATTCTACTGTCCTACGAAATAAGAAGCTACAATAAAGGATATATTCCAGCTTGAGAAGACTAGAGGAGAGCAGAACATCTTGGTACCTTGACTGCAAAAGTTGGCTTACAAGTGCTATACCCCTATGCCTCATTTATGCATTACAGGCATTAACCAAATTGAGTATGAAATGATGTATGGTGAGAATTTACCTGCAGTATAGGGGTGAAAGGCCTTTTCCTGCCTGAGAGCAGCATTCCCTTCTGGGCAATGGTGGGGGTGAGTGGCACGTGTCAGTGGTGGGCAGAGTCGGAGGTAAAAGTAAACAGAATAGCTAAATTGAATCCTGCAGCAAGCAGGCTGCTCCCTCTTAACTGCTGCAATAGGCTACTTACACACACATCCCCTCTAAACAAGCAATAGGCATTATCAGAGTTGAGGAACACATTTCAGCTAGGCAAAAGGCACTGAAGGAGGGTACAAAGCAGGGCTGGTAAGAGAGATGGCTGAGGATAGGGTGTGACCTGGGGAGAGTCCCAAAGACTAGAGCCCACAACTGGCCCCTGGGATTGAGGTTCCCAATCCCTGTTGCAGTCAAAGTGTTGCCTTGCAAGGAGTTAATGGAACTGAGCATTTTAATGTATTGACCTAGAGATAAAGCAAAGGAAACTGGTATTCTTCAGAGCAGAAATTTAACAGATAGTGTACAAGCTTTAGAGGAAGACAAAGGGTGTCCCTTGGGATTATGATAAGCAAGGAGAAGTAGGGCAGTTATTTAAGAGAATGAAGCAATGCTTTCCTGGCTACAGCAAAGGCAGTGCAGGCCTGTTTTCCATGCTTTTGCCCGAGACATGAAAAGCCACTTCTCACTTGGAAACAAAAGGCTATAAGGAGGAGCTAGGGAATTCTCACCCCAGATGCCTGGACACAGGGGGAAAAAGGCAAATCGTTCCAAACCTGTGTGATGCCAGCCACACTTCTTCGCCAGTAAAATACTGCATTTACAAAACCTGCTTGAAAATGGCTCCTGCTAGACTCAGGTCTCTAGCTTGACCACTAAACATCAGGAAGGTTAAGACCAGGGCTTTTGGTGCCCCCTCACACCAGAACCTTTAATGTACGTTTGCCCCTTTCTCAAAAACATACTCAAAAGCTACACGTGAAAGGGGTTGATTTAATGTAAAACAAGAACATTTTATTTATCCCTGACAGACGCTTGATGTCAAAACTTTTTGTCTGAACCTGGAGGACAAGATTGCTCAGTGTGCACAGGTGACAGGTGAGCAGTGCGCTGACCTGCCCTTCGGACTGCCAGCCCAAAGCCAGCTGGTGCTGGTTACAAACAGCAACGGGTCTGGAACAACAGATCTGGGATAATGACCAGACAGACATGAATACAAGGGGGAGCAGATGGTACGATGTTGTTGGCTGCACAAACATGCACTGGGGCCCCCTGTGCTGGACCATGCATAAGGAAGGGTGGGCACTTCCAGCAGGAAGGGGGATTGACCGTGTGGCACCCCCTCCCTCTGGGCATTACCCCATGAAAGTAAGATTTGAGATGGTGAGGACGTTGCCCTGCTAGGACGACCCACAGGGAGCCACACGCACCACCACTTGGCAGTCGCCTTCTCGTTTCCACCTCTTTTGCTGGGCCTTCCTTGCTCAGCTTTCTCCGCGTTTTGGCGCCACCTCTCAAGCTCAAAGGGCTGCCATCTGAACCACAAGCCCTGGAGGTAGGGGATAGTTGATGTGAGACAGAGAAGCAGGTGCCATCACGCACACATGGATCTTGTCACAGTCGGCTGTCATGCTGCAGACCTGAGAGAGGAGGAAAAACAACAGCAGCTTTTCAGCACAGTAAACTAGATGTAGGGAACCTCTTTGCCCCTGCCACTGTGTGTCGTGCAGCCCCCTG